TTATGTGCACCAAGGTATGTGCGGATGTGCGCCACCAGTTGAAACGAAAAACCTAGATATATTTTTTAAAAGGTTACCATAGGGATAATTACTCCAGCCAAGACAGGTTAGGCATTTTAAAACTCACTACTCAAAGAATTAAATGTAAGTGTAGGAGAAATAAAAATTATGAAATGCATAGACCAGTCAAAAAACTAAAATAACACACTTTGAAAGAACAAAATTACAGAGAATATGTGCGCATTGTAGAAAGAACCAAGTAACAACAACAATAATACAAGTATGTATTGGGAGATGAGTGTGTGTGTGTGAGTGAGTGTCACAGTGTGTGTGCTGGCTGCTGGGGAAGTTTCTGAGAGATGTCATGCGCTGTCTCTTTAAGGCACTCACTCACTGCCCGGAAGACTCGTTCAGACCTCAGACTGCAGCAGCTCTCTCCTGCTCAAAGTCCTGAGCCAGGCTGTCCCCTCTCCCCTGCTCTGTGGAGATGGGGTACAGGGGCAGGGGGAGGGAGACACCCTGACATCAGCACTCCCCTCTCCTCCCCCCCTCCCGCTTTGCACAACCAGCTGGAGGGTCCCAGGAGCAGCTGCAGGAGCAATGTGGCAACAAAGCAACGGGGGGGAGGAGCACCTGAACACATGCTGCTGGATGTGCGCGGCTCTGCTAATCAAGTGAGTGGCACGTGAATCACTCCTGGACAACCACCCAACCACGCAGCTAAGAGGGAACACAGGTCGTGACCATCATGACCTTTAGCCTTACTGAGCTCTACAGCTGCCTCCTTCCTCATTTAAGGGAATTTGAAAATGGAAAGACAAGTAAGTAAAGTTACCTTGAGAAATGCAGGTAGTTGGCAAATGCTGAGCCAGCCTGAAACAATAATACTGTGGATAGCACCTTTAAGACAGTATGCATAGGTCCACCTTTCTTAAGAGTTTGCCATAGTGATTGAGCATATATACAAGCAGCTACAAAGTATGCTAGGACAAGTAGGAAAAAGAATTCATGTAATCCTGGGAAGAGAAGAAATGCAGTTTAATTTAATAAAGTGAATTATGGCACATAACAAGTACTACTTAAGATAATATTGCTTGTCTTGTAGTAAGAGTAAGTTATGTAGTAGTTACTACATAGTAACATAAAAGTGATAGTAGAGATGGATTAGCATTCAACTACTTTCTCTTATCCTTCCCACACAGTAATAGAAGAAAAAAAATCTTCATGTGTCAGTTTAGTTCTTTAAGGTGGCTGGTCATTATTTGATCTGTAAGTCTTTGTCCAGCAAAAATACCTATCTTGAATATAAAGAGGCATTCTGTAAACAATTTATCTTTAAAAAAATGCAAACATATGTAAGAATTATTGGAAAAATCTTAAATAGTTTCCTATAAATAGGCTTGGCAGAATTTGATTTTTTTTTATAACTTTAACAGATAACATTGATGTTAAACATAAAAAAGGCTTAAAAGTTATCAATTTAAATTTTCACAGTTGCACAAAATTATTGGGGGGGGGGGTCAGACAATTATTTAATGACAGTTGAGATTCAAAAAGTTAAATCTTTACAACCATTAAAACACAAATTGTCAGCAGCACATGTCAAAACATACAAAGTAAATATCCTTAAATCAAATGCTAATAAATTCTCAGCCAATTTTTTCTTACTTTGCCTATCTGTAAATTTCTATTATCATCGCAGGAATTGTTTTGGTCATGTGTGTCTATAGAGAAGTCGAGATTTACCAATAAAAATCTAATCCTTCCTACCTATAAAGTAAACAATAGCCTAGCTCAATGGGTAGTCAGGAACATCTACAATAAATAGGTTAAAGTTTAAACTTTCAAAGAGAGGATCTGAGATGAGGAGAGACATCCAATACACATTTGAGGTAAGCCTGTCTAACCACTGGGTGTCACTCTTACACCACATAAAATGAAGTATGGTTAGCCCAGATAGCACCTGTGTCCAACAGAGAAGTTAAAGGCAGAGCTGTGTGAAGAAAGGTAATTCCATTCTGGGGAAGCTTTTGATATTCTGAAATCTGGTTTTGTTCCAATTTGGAATGAAAACCAAAAGTTTCAAAATTCTGAGTGAAAGGGAAAGTTCTGGGGTCCCTGGCTAAGGCGCAGTTCGCCAGATTGGCTGCCCTGGAGCCACAGACCCTGGGAGCCCAAGCTGCTAAGGAGCCTCAAGCTTGGGAACCAGTCAGGGGGAAATCAGGCTCGTGGTTTCTCCTCAGCAAGCCAGGCAGGCTGCCAATGAGCTGGATGGGTGAGCTGGCAGGAAACCGACATGTTTCCAGTGAAAATCTACCTGGTTTCTATCAGACTTTTGTTGAAACTGGACCATCTCCATAGAACATTTTGATTTCAACAATCTGCATTCTCTGATGGAAAACCGTTCTGTCACAGAATTTCCAACCAGCTAGTTAAATGGGATAGGAAATCTAGAACAAGCATACGTGTTCCATGTCTATCAACCAAAGAAGGGAATCTGTGTTGGATGAAGTATGAACATTTGCTAGAGATTAAGATTGAAGGTGGTCAATGATGGACACACACAGGGTGGATGGAACGACAGTCTCCTTAAACCTCAATTGTTAAGAAGCTAATAAGGAGATATTCATTATGAGCCTTATTTAAATAGACCCTTCTGTTTCTCCTATCTAGATTATCCATTTCTCTTCTTTCTTCTTAGTTCTTTATTTTATAGGGAAAATATGTATATTGTACCAGATTCTACCACTTTTACTTGCACTGAGCTGCTCCTTACTGCATAAATAGCTCCACTGAAATCGAAAATTTCATACAAACTGATTTACAGGTTGGATTAATGCAATCAGGAACCCTAGAAACACCATGACATGGGGGTTCCCCTCCTCTCAGAGGCAGGTGCACAGGGCCCCTTCCCCGCTCCCAACACACTCTCCCCCCGCTCTGGGAGTAGCAAGAGGACAACCAGTACTTAGCTCAGCTGCTGGGCTAAATCTATTAGTGGGTGGAAGGACGTGGGAGGGCATGCCAGGCTCACTGCACTCTTCTTTTTCTGTAACATATTCTCCTATTAGAGTTGTGTTGCTGGGGCCTCCCAAGCAGGGCCGGCTCCAGCATTTCTGCTGCCCCAAGCAAAAAAAAAAAAAAGACCGCAATCGCCGGCTGCCATTGGTAAAAAAAAAAGAAACGCGATTCGGCGGCGGCAGTTCAGCGGCAGGTCCTTCGCTCCTAGAGGAAGTGAGGGACCTGCCGCCCCCGAATTGCCGTAGGTGCCGCCCCTCTCCCTTGGCCGCCCCAAGCACCTGCTTGTTAAGCTGGTGCCTGGACCCAGCCCTGCTCCCAAGGTAGTGGGCCCTGGAGTTAACTCTTCATTGAGATATCTAAGGCAGTTCATATCCCTGCATCTGCTATGCTTGCGTCACTTTTTCAAGCTTTTCTTTGCAAACTTGAAGGCTGGAAATTTGTATTTTTTAAAGGAAAGATGGGACTGCCATTATTGTATGGCTTTAGAAGCTGGGGTCCTAGCTATAGGGGGACTCTTTGCTTTATTCGGTCCTTGATGATTTAGATATACTTAACTGAAATTTCATTGGCAGAAAGTTCACACAGTGCATTCTGGATTTGTACCATAAATCTTGAATATTTCTTAAAGAATTACTAGGACTATCACTTGCTCAAAGCCGAAGTCCAAAGGAGACTATGTGATATCAAAAACAAGGCCTCTGAGATCCAGGATTTCATAGATCAGGATGACATGAGAAGTTTTCTTTCAAAGCAACAAAAGCTATATATGGGCCAACCTCCAAAGGCCCAACCCCCTTATGTTCCCAGGATAGCTCCACCCTCTTCAAGGAGGATGCAACCATTAAACAATGCTGGAAGGAGCACTTTGAGAGCCTACTAAACTGCAAATCCATGGTCTCTGAAGACACCATCGAGTTTATTCCACAACGCTCAGCAATGCAACACCTTGCTGATCCTCCATCTTCTGAGGAAGTCTGGCGTGCCATCACCCAGACAAAAAAACCCACAAGGCACCAGGTCCAGACAGCATCTCAACTGAGGTTTTTAAAGCCTGGTGGAACAATGCTCCAGCACAAACTTTGCCAAATCCTTGACAAAACCTGGACCTGCGAAGAAATTCCATCTGATTTTAAGAACGTCAACATGGTTACAATATTCAAAAAAAGGGGACAAATCTTTGTGTGTGAATTACAGAGGTACTGCCCTCATCTGCATCGCAGGGAAGATCCTTGTCCAGATCCTACTAAACTGCCTCCTCCCCCTTGCCAAGGAACTCCTCTCCGAATCAGAATGTGGCTTCAGGCCATCCTGAGGCACAACCGACACGATCTTCGTGGCATGACAGATTCAGGAGAAGTGCAAAGAGCAACACCAGGAATGTTCATGGTATTCATCCACCTAACCAAGGCCTTTGGCTCTATCAATTGTGATGCCTATGGAAGGTGCTGTGTAGGTTTGGCTGTCCACAGAAATTCATTTCCATCATCAGACTACTCCATGATGGGATGACTGCCACCATTCTGTGCAATGGCTCAAAGACCAAACCATTCATCATTCACACTGGTGTCAAGCAGGGCTGTGTCATTGCTCCAACACTCTTCTCCATTTACCTTGCCATGATCCTGATTCTCATCTGCGACCGCCTTCCTGATGGAATCAGGATTGAGTATCATATGGATGGCCAACTCCTGTATCTCCAACATCTCCAAACAAAATCTAAGCTCATGAGAACTGGCATCACTGACTTTCAGTATGTAGATGACTGTGTCATTCTTGCACACACAGAGGCCACCCTGCAAAGCACCCTAAATCTTTTTGCAGATGCCAATCACAGCCTGGGTGTCTCTCTCAACATCAGGAAAACCAAGGCACTCTACCAGCCTTCACCTGCACAAACTACTCTTCGTACTCCACAAATAGGCAGCAGGTTTAAAAGAAACAAAAGGAAGTATTTTTTCACACAACCTGTGGAACTCCTTGCCAGAGAATGTTGTGAAGGCCAAGACTAGATAAGTTCATGGAGGATAGGTCCATCAAAGGCTATTAGCCAGGATGCGCAGGGATGGTACCCTTAGCCTCTGTTTGTCAGAAGCTGGGGCACCTGGCATTGGTCAGGGTCAGAAGACAGGATACTGGGCTAGGTGGACCTTTGGTCTGACCCAGTATGGCCGTTCTTATATTCACCATCGGCGAAGAACCTCTGGAAAATGTGGACCATTTCCCATACCTGGGCAGCCACCTCTCCCAAACAGCTAGCATTGACACAGAAATTGAATAAAGGATCTGCTGTGCCAGCATATCCTTTGGAAGACTACTCAAATGAGTTTTCAATGATAGGGATCTGCAAACAGGCACCAAGATCTTGGTTTACAAGGCAGTTGTCATCCCCACCCTTTTCTAAGGGTGTGAGACCTGGGTAATCTACAGACAACATCTCAAATGGCTGGAGTGGTTCTAGCAGTGCTGCCTCAGATGGATTATCAGGATCAGCTGGGAAGACCCAACGCAGTAACATCAGCATTCTCTCTGCAGCCAACATCAGCAGTGTAGAAGTGAAGGTCATGAAACACCAACTCCGTACATATGCCTGACACTTGCCTCCCGAAGCAAGTACTCTTCTCTCAGTTAAATCAGGGAAGAAGGGCTTGCAGAGGGCAGTGAAAGCGCTTCAAAGACATACTGAAAGTACCCCTTAAAAGGGAGGCATCAAACCAAACTGGGAGGACTTGTCGTGGAACAGCACACAGTGGCGCCACACCATACACCGACCCACAGCTCACTTTGAGAACAGACCTGCTCATGAGACAAAGGAGGAAGGAAAGGACACAACAGTCCAGCCAACAAGTGTCTCCTTCAACATCACACCTGTCACTGCTCTGGGAAAATCTGCAGGGCACGAATTGGGCTCCTCAGCCACCTAAAAACCCACCAATGAACCCCCTTGGCAGACATCATCCTTGCATCGAGGGACAACTGAAGAAGAGAAGCAGGGAGAAGAGGACCAAGGTTTGGACAAGTGCATTCTAGAGAGAGAAAGTATAGATTTTTGAAGTGAAGTGATGTACAGGAAGAACTGACATGATTTGGTGACAGCCTGGATATGGGGAAGAATAATCAGGGGGAAAAGAGGAGTCAAAGATGACAATGAGGTTTTGAGCCTGCATGATGAGTGTGTGTATGGGGAGAAATGAGATCAAGTTTAAGTTGACAACAGGCCAACCATGATGATGTCACAAGGCAGCCAAACAATCGACTGAAACAATACAACAAATTTAATACACTAAATTCCATACCATATTAGTATTATGAAATTATTAATAGGGTACAATGAAAAAAATCTATATAGAATGATTCTGAGTCCAAGCCCAAAGGTACTCATTATAGAACGTAATGCAACATATTACTGATTTTAGTGCTAGCCTGATGTTTCACTTGTTCCTGCAGTCTACATTGTTGGTGAAAAGTTCAAAACTAAACAAGCAATAAAGCTCCCCAAAATTTTCAAAAAGCTTTAATCTTTATTGTGAACCTGTTAATTCTAGGACAGTTCTATCCTTGACACTAAGAGATAAAACCCATAAATGCACCTAAAGAACTAACCTTGTCAAATGAATAAAGTATATGGTGAATTAGATTATCAGGATTGTTAAATATGGAACAAATGAGAATGTAACAAATGAAGTACTCTCTTAAAGGTATATAACTGACCAAGGCCAATCCCATTTTGGGGAGCTGAGAATTCATGTATGTAAAGCACTTTGAAGATAAACATTAAATAAATCTTTTTTTTTTACCACTTCTAAAAGGCCCACATTGGATTACAACACAACTACTTTGTAACACAGCAACATAAAACTTCAATATGCTGTAGCAGATCCCAGTTGTATCAAGATAAACAATGGACAAGCTGACTGTTTGAGGTCACCCTTTTAATCTATTTCTCTGATTAGATCAGAGTTGGATAATTAGGTTAAAGATCTAGAAAGGTTCGTGTTAGAAAAATTCATCAGGATTACCTACTCTCTGAGGAAGTATTGTCCTAAAAGTGAAAGGCTTAGCCATCCATTTCTCCAAATACACACTTTTTTGAACACAGAGAGCACTGATTTATTTGATGATCAGATCCTTATCTTATTGATCTAATTTCAAGAAAAAAATCTTACCCGATTCCCCTGCGCTAAAGTGATCTAATGGATTCCCTTCTGCATCTGGGTTTAGTAACACCATTTCAAATTGAATATCCTCGGATTCAGAATTTTCATAATTCTCCTCGCAGGTAAACTTGTCTACATAAAACACATACCACGCTTCTGGATATGGAATCTGGGTCACTGTCAGATTTTGCTCTGTGAGATTCATAGGCACTTTAAAAAGAAACAAAGAATGAAGTAAGCATTTAATGTACTAACTCTTCTGAGATATAATACACTGTGATGCTTCTCTGGGGAACCCAGGATTGAGAGGCACCTCGCTACTACCTGCCCTTAGCATGAGGAAGCTTTCTCTGTGTCTACCAAGGGTCAGCTCCCCAACTCTACTGACATTGGGCAACACAGGCACTCCCCTTAAAGTTTTGCAGGCCCTGATGTGGTTAGCAATTTGCACATTCCAACCCTTGAACTGTCTAAGCAAGGGGTTCTCAAACTGGGGATCAGGACCCCTCAGGGGATCACGAGGTTATTACATGGAGGTCATGAGCTGTCAGCCTCCACCCCAAACCCCGCTTTTCCTCCAGCATTTATAATAGTGTTAAATATATAAAAAAGTATTTTTAATTTATAAGGGGGGGTTGCACACAGAGGCTTGCTATGTGAAAGGGGACACCAATACAAAAGCTTGAGAACCACTGCTCTAAGCATCTCCATGGAGTGTCCAGCCTCTAGTCCACTGGATGCTCACAGTGTTCAGAGATTTACTGTTTCCAAAGAAACAATACATCCCAGCTTGCCAGTTCCACCTCAGATCACTGCTTTGCTTAACGCACAGCACTAAGTTATGTTTATATGAAATTAAGTATAAACTTTTATTTAACAAACCCTGGAAATTCAAGTAATAATAATTATTATTGGAGACAAATGGTTATATATAAAATAAAATCAAACATGCATTCTAGAGCCTACATTTAATTAATAAGATACTTTCACATCTTGCATTGTATTGCTCAACAAAAAACCTTGCAGTGCTTTACAGCCAGACTGGCTGTTACCCTTATTGCATGAGATGGACACAGTCAGTTTGCCTCCTACCTGAAGAATTCAGTGAGTCTCTTTGCATTTCCAGATATATCAGACCAATCCTTTGTCTTTACTCATGAACAGGACACTCCCCTGCTGTTTGTTTCTTCCTCTATAGTTTCTTTTTATTTTCTCTCTCTCTCTCTCCCCCCTCCTTCTCTCAGATTTCACAATCTCTTAATTTGCACCTGGTTTAGTATGCAAATATACAAACGGCCAGACAGGAAGATAAGCATTTGTTATCTCCTGTCTGAAGAGAACATTTCCAAGAGATGTCATCTTCTGGTGACCTGCCTTAACTCCAAGACCTTAAGGACATAAATTTCAGTATAGATACATAGCTCTTTAAATATTATCTGTACATACATTTTGCAATTATGATGACAACCAGTGGGCAACTGGCTCTCGGTATATACCTTACATGCCAAGTCTCTGGGAACTATTATGCAGCGGAGCCCTGTACAACCCTAAACACTTTTGCCCCCTTCGCCATTTGGCACTAAGGAGTTCCCGCGTCATGTACCTATTTAATTCTAGAGCATCAATCATATTTCTATACACTATAACTGAACTCCAAAAATGAACAGTCTCTACTTTGAAGCATACTATAAAACTGTATGAAGAAAGACTCTGGGCTAAATCTTCATTTTTGCTGAGTTTAAACTTGATGCAATTTAGGAAGTGTTTGGAGCATACACTCTCATCCATCTTTCAGCCTCTCTAATCTTGGGCTGGCTGGGGGATGAAAAAAGCCCTTGACAGTACTCTATCCACAGCCGGTGGCTGTAAATTCTGAAGATCTAGTGCAGTACTGTCTACTTTGGCACCTCCTTCCCTTTCTCCTATGCTAAGGAAGGAGTGGGTTTCACTCAGCAGGTGGAACTGGGTCTGAGGAATGAGACCATTTTCTCCAAAAATGTAGCTGCTTTCAAATTGCACTACACTTAAAAAAAGATACATAAGAGATTAGGAAGCACAGTTTGGTCCTGAACCATTACATCTGAAAAGAACAGTGGCAGCAGTGTCAATGATCATGAGAACTTTCTGAGTCACAAGTCTTTAGATTATTGTACTGTAATAGAAAGCTGTTGTGATACCACTGAGCAACTTCTTGGCAGTTTTCTGGTATTTTTAAGTTATTTAGAAGAACTATACAATATGCCTCTTGTGAAAAAGTTATATATACCTGGTATTCATCTTTGTGGGGTTTCCTGCAGATTCTGTTGAATGCAACTTGTAGATGGGCTGGAGTTTGGGGTGGGGAAGCAAGACTAAAAGGGAACAGAGAAAAATGGAAATAGGGGCAACTAGAGCATTACTGAGTTACCTGTGTAAGTCATGAATGAAAAGTCATGTGCCTATGCTGACTCTGTCCCCTAAAAGGGACTTACCTTATGTAGCTAACATTTCAGTTAATAATCATAGCCACATTGAAGCAATATTTTCATTAACTGCTCCCATGTTGTACATGCAATTGTTTTTATCCATCTATTTCTTTTCCTTGACAAGAATGGTGTGACTGGGTACAAAGGGGGAGAAAAAAAAATCACTTGTGTTGAGAGTTTTACTGGTCTCTGACAGAAATACAGATTATTGTTGAAATAGAAGGTTCTTGTTCTACACTTGAATTATTTTTGTAGGATCTCTTTTCAAGCGTTCAGTGCTACAAAGCAATTAGTATTTGTTCTCTGAAGGTATTTTGGAGACAAACTAGCAATGAAACGATGACTAAACAACTAGCAATGTGGGGTGAAATCCCTATTATCGATTAAAAAGGCAATGACTAGATGGAAAAGGAGAAATGAAAGAAGTGACAAATTTATAAATTAATTAAGATTATAGAGGACACGCAAGTACCTTTCTACCCTTTCACAAAATACAAAGAGAGCAGTCCAAGTTGGAAGACAAGCAAACTTGCGAATTAAAAATAAATAAATCTTAAATTACATAAAAATCCCCTGTAGTACACACTGCCCCAGGATATTTGAGACAAACAACTTAGAGAGTCTAATTCCCTTTATGAAACCCACTATGAATAGCTGTAATTAAATTACTGTACCTGGGATATAGTTTAAAGGCCTATTTTCCCTTCTCCTTCAAGGCTTAAATTGATCAACAGTTGGATTCAGGAAGAAACACATTCCAGGTTCCATTGAACCAACCAGCACTGAGTACCACGGGGGACCATATACTGAACTAACACCACCACATGTAATAAATGCAATTTGTGTCGTGTAGCTCTTTTAAGCATGTATTATTCTAGTGTTATCCATGTCCCATCAACCAAGCATAGGTAATGGTAACAGCTGATACAAAGGCAACTGTTTTCAGAACACGGTAGCCTTAGAAGCAGCACCACAGTCAGATTGTGTTAAGGTTCTATTCTGACCACATGCTGAGAGGTCACTTATTTACCCTATAGATTGTGGTCTCTTGGTTGCCTAAGGGAAACATATGAAAATAGAGCTGCATTCACGTAAGATACTGATGAATGAAGTCTCTAATATCTGCTTAATTTGAAAAGGAAATTTTATGCTTGCTTCAATTAGAATGTCTAATGTTATACTCAATAAATGGTACAAAATAATGCTTTTAGTATCTGTATCTTTCAATTAAATAATTAATCAGAGCTATTGAACGTTCTATTGTTTGGCCATTCTACCATTTACACTTTTTTTACTTAGATCAGTACACAAATTAACAATTATCTTGATTAACACTTCTTTGAAACTGAATTTTATGAGGGTCTTCAATGTTTTGTACATCAAAGGCTGACAGATTCATGCTTCCATAAAAGTGACACTGGCCTTTTAATTTTGTTTTCCTGTCTTTGAACAATGCCGTTTTCTACAGGGATAGGGGAAAAGAACCTCTTAACAAAATTGAATTATTCTTCTAGAAACAAAACACAACACAGCATGCATATTCTATGCTGGTATAATTATCAGCTTAAATATTAACAAAACTTGAATTAGAGATTCAATGATGAATAGTTAACTTCAGAATTAAATGGTAAAAGGAAATTAATATTAAACAAACTTTGTGGAATGAGACAGCACAATTCAGTCTTGAATTAATTTTAGAGAGATGTAACTTACAAAAGGGCATGAGAAATGGTAAAATTATTGTACGAGGAGGTGTGAAAGAAAATATGGAGGGGGGGAGTTCAGATAAAAATCTTACTCTTATGGATGCCTTACTCTCTAACAACACATTATACTCACCTTACAAACAAGTTCTTACTATGACTGAAACCTCTTAACATTTCTTAAATGTATTTATAATTAATGAAGTCTATTGCAATTATTTGTTTATAAAACCTGTTTTCTCCTGTTCCAACAAAGAGACTAACACCCCCCCACACACACACACACACCCAACTGCATTTGAAGAACTAATTCCTGCCCTCACCCCCAGATCCATTTTATTCTGCAAACTGGCTTGGAGACTGCACTTTGTTAAGGTCTTCTGTTAAGATTTTCTGCACACTCAATAACAATCTTACACTATCGTGAAATGGGAATAATCTCCAGGCTGAGCCCACATATGGAAAATTTCAGCCAAATACTAGTATTTTTCAAAATTCTAAGCAAATGAAAGCATTGGGTTATAATGAGACTTGATATAAAATTACCTACCTTAAAATGTTTCACTACTTGGTTTGTCAAGGAATATTAGTATCCCAGCTGTTTAACGAGACATCATTTGTAAAATAAAAAATCCTCCAAAAAAGACACAAGCAAACCAACTACATCTCTTTGTAATTAAACAAAAAAATACTGAAGGGACCATTCTGGTTCAACTTAAGTTGATAACAAAAACCTTACTGATTTCAATGAGACCTGTTAAGTGTATGTGTTTCGGATAAATTCACGAACGCTGACTTCAAAGGTAAAAAAAAAAAAAGAAATAAACTCACCTGTCAGCTGAGCTTTGGACAGTTTCTCTCCACAGCTGTGATCTTGGGTGCTGTCCTGCAGCTTTAGCCATTCCTGTGCTTGAAAAAGGTGAAGTCTGGCCTCTTTTTCAACAGCTGCTGCTACATTGTTGATTCTGATATACAGAACAGCATGGTCACCTTGATATTTAAAAAAATAAAATCAACTACATGTCTTATGCGGATCACACAGATAAAACTGGAAGAGTACCTAGACAGCTATAGCAGTACCTTTTTAATGCATGTCACAGATCCAGATGGACCACTCTTGGTCACTCTCCAGACTATTGTAAGGGGGTTCACTTCATTGGGCCATGTGTGCTTTAGGTCACCAGAGCATAAGCATGGTCCAGTCACTGCCCCTGGTCTGGAATCCCTAGTCATACTCTTGAGGGGCAGTTCCTATATCACACCCTCTCCAGAGAGCGGAGACCTCACAGTCCAACTACCCAGCCCCTAGGACCAGTATTGACCCCTCAGTCTCCCTTGTAGCTTCTCTCCCAGAACAAGGAGTAATGGTCTCAAGTTGCAGTGGGGGAGGTTTAGGTTGGATATTAGGAAAACCTTTTTCACTAGGCGGGTGGTGAAGCACTGGAATGGGTTACCTAGGCAGGTGGTGGAATCTCCTTCCTTAGAGGTTTTTAAGGTCAGGCTTGACAAAGCCCTGGGTGGAATGATTTAGTTGGGAATTGATCCTGCTTTGAGCAGCAGGTTGGACTAGATGACCTCCTGTGGTCCCTTCCAACCTGATATTCTATGATTCTATGATTAAGCTGGAGGAAGTGATTTCCTCTAGCTCCAGCCAACCTTCTTAGCATACCGACTGACTAGTCATACAGTCATTGAGGTTAACTAGGGACTGGGAGTCGCACACTTTGTACTATCTGTAGGTCAAGCTTACTGTATACACCAGGAGTGGAATGCATGCATCCCTGTAT